TGCTTTCTTTTTTCATGTTTCTTTGTGTGTGTGTGTGTGTGTGTGTGTGTGTGTGTGTGTGTGTGTACTCAAGGCCTGCATCAACCAAAACTGGATTAGAGAAACCTCTCTAAATCATTACCTCTCTAAATCATTATCCATCATTTCTACTAGACAAACAACTCTACTGGACAAACACTTCCAATTTTCCATAAATACTTGATCAAAGATTTAATTTCATTACGCAGTTTTCAATTTCTGGGTCTGGATTTAGTTTTGTCAATGGTAGTGAATTACTGAACATGGTCACCATTATGGTTGATACATTGTGTCAGTTTCAAAAGTTTAGAAGTTTAACTAAGTAATTCAGCAGGGGCCAGGGTCCTAACTTTGTAAACATCTTCATCCTCTGCAAGAGGAGGGCATAGACAGGGTGTGAGTGCTACATCTGCCATAGGAGAGCTGGCCTGCTTACAATATAAGGGAGATAAAGGGGCTTGCTCTCTCCCTTTTTGCTCTTGTTGCTTTTGCTGTCTTCTACTTCCACGAACTGTTGCCCATCTGCCAGGCCACCCTGGTTTGGAGGCAGTGATTATGGACTGAAACTTCCACAAACTGTGAGCTAAATAAACCTTTCCTCCTTTAACTTTGGGTGTAGGGTATGTTGTCCCAGCATTGGTAGAAAAGTACCTAAGAAAAGCACCAACTACTTTTTTGTTGTTCTATCAGAAAATTCACCAGATGTTTTGATTTGCTGCTTTAGTTGTAACAATTGAATTTTTATATGTAATTTCAAGAATTTAGTTCTATTTGAAAAAAATCTGCCTCTAGCTTTTGTCTGCTTCCTCATGATTTGATCTTGCCTTTGGTTGTTTTGGTACTACACAGTGTCATAAGATCAGAGTTGATTGCTATGTTGCAAGGATAGAATACCTACTAATTATATTAACATTAACAGACTCTGCCATATGCAAATCATATACAATGAAACTTGATTCAACAATCTTGTCTTTCTTTCAATTACCCTTTTATAATATACTACTATTGACAGGTAGGCTAGAATGAGGTAGATTAAGGAAGGAAAAAGGCAGAGAAAAGGGAAAAGGATAGATCAGAAAGGAGAGAAGGGGAAAAAGAAATAAATGAAAAACTGACTCTATTGATATTTTACAACATTGATGTGTTACAACTGAAGTGTAACACTGGTGGAAGAGAGCTTTCAGTGAATATCTGCGGGAATGGTAGATGGGATGCAAAGAGTAGTGTAACTGGGGATTGAAGGAAGCTATGAAAAGGTTGGAATGCATTAATACGCTGATAGATGGCTTGTGTGTTTGAATCCTTTATATATAGTTTTGGTGAGTGTTACCCTGACTTGCCCATGGATAGGTACTATTTACATTAAAGTACTGATTAATTCTTATTCTCCTTTTCACAAATATAGACACCTGCCATATATATGCTAGGTGAAATGAGGAAAGGTAAAAGGAAATTAAATGAAAAAGAAAGAGAAAAGAGGAAAAAAGAAAACAAACCCATACAATTGAAAGAACACAAATTTTGTGTTTTCATTGTCCTATACATTTTGCAGCCTGAATTCTACCATTCTGCTCCCCTCTCCCCCACACACAGTGGTCCTGACCCATACAGGAGTCTGGAGTGGTTTCTACATCCGACCCTTTCCTCCACCTCCACCTTGCATAGACCACTGCTGCACTCTAAGGTGCTTCTCCTCTCCTTCACTCAAGCCACAGCCTGGTACTGCAGATCTTTTCCCCACGGTTTGTTTAATTCTCACCTGTAAGTGAGGAGACTTGGGGGCCTGGATGATCTGCTGGGCCCACTTCCCTGTTGCAAGCTGTACTCCTCTTAATTTTAATTTTGCCTCTGTGGGTGTGGCTGACTGGTGCTCTTACCTTTGTCTTATGATCAGATCCCTTCAGTTAAGTTTAAAGGGGGGTGCAGTATGCTTCTTTCAGTACCCTGCCTCAATTGCTAATCTCTGCTCCTTTCCCTGTATACATAAACCCCATTCCTGCTTCTGTTCTCCATCCACAAGGTTCCTGGTACACTGTGCAGGAACCCACTGGCTGAATTGGCAGTGTCTGCTTCTTCCCTGCAGTGATCTTTCTTTGCTCTTCACAAAGCATCTTTCCCCAGCTTGTGAGACTGGTGGTGGCTCGGGAGGCCTCTGTGCTTAGCAGCTCCTAGCTAGGCGCTGTGGGGGTTCCTTTGCCGGCACTGGATCATGGGCGACTGGCTGTAAGCAAGCTATCCTGTGAGCCCAGAAAGCCTGGTGCTTGGAGAAGAATGGGCAAGTGCCTCAATTACTCCAATTACTTTCCTCTGTAGGGTCTTACTGTTCACAGGCTAGGTAGCAGAAGCCCCCAAGGTACAGCTATTTTACCATTCACATCCAGGTGCTGAATCAAAATTGAATATTGAAAGTTGAAATTTTCCTAATTCGACTTTCCCAGGAGCCCATTGATGCTTTCTCAGACATCGCTCACCAGGGCATTAGATCCTTTCCCAAACTGTGTGGATGCTGGGCCTGGGGTATAAGAGGTGCTGAGTCCAGAGATGGTTCTGTTTTCCTTTCTAAAAGCCCGTGATACTGGATTCAAGTTTGGCGAGTTTCTCCTTCAGTTTGCCTTCCTATATCTAGCTTTTTTGGCCTCCCACATTACTGTCTACCTGTATTTTCCAGAGCACAGCTTCAGAGCCTCCTCATATACCACAATGTCACTTTTTTTTTTCGAGACATAGTGTCCCTGTGTAGCCTACACTGGCCTTGAAATAAATATCCTCCTGCCTCAGCTTCCTGAATGTTACTGGCCTGCAGCACCACACCCAGGTCATAAAAAGATTTATGATGTCTTTAAATTCCTATATTATGTATAAATATGAGTTGTTATAAAATAGTCTAGCAGCTAGAGAGGGCACAATATAAATACTAAATAAAAAATAATACCAGTCATGGTGCATTCTTGTAATCCCAGCACTCTGGGAGGTGGAGGCAGGAGGATTGCAAGTTTGAACCCAGCTTGGATGATTTAGTGAGAATCTGTCTCAAAAAAAAAAAAATTAAAAAGCTGAGAATGCAGTTCTGTGTGATGGCCCTGGGTTCCAGCTCCAGTACTATAAAAACAAAACAACCAAAAAAAAGGAAAAGAAAGAAATTTGGTAAATTTGTTTTAATATCCAAAAAGTATTAGAAGTGTTACCAAAACCAATAGGATTCATCTCACATATATACACATACCAATTCATTCTTTTAGTTTTTTTTTTGTTTTGTTTTTTTGTTTTTTTGTTTTTTTTTTTAGAAATAAAAGGAGGAACATGGTTGTTCTTCTGTCTTCTATTTCTATGCTGAAAGAAACTGTCAATGAGTCTTTGGTTGACCAGTATTGCATGTTTATAAAAAAAAAAAAAAAAGAAATAAAAGGAGGAAAATACTAACAGACCGACAACATTTTACAAAATAGCATAGGATCAGTACAGACATTACAGAGTTACAAACAGAGTGGTAGGGAATTAACAATGCTTATTGTATTACATATTGGTATCTTCAATGTAGTTTCTCATGAAAACACATATAGACATACAAAGCTAATCAACCAATGCCTCACTGACAGTTTCTTTCAGCAAGGAAATACAGGACAGTAGAACACCCGTGTTAACTATCCTGCATATACATATATACAAACTTTCTCCTTCTTTCCCTTCTCTTTTCCCATATCCCAGTTATCCTTTACCTATGAGTGCTTTCCTATCAATTGTCAATGTCTATCATATCTCCTAGATTAAATTAACTCTTTCAGGCTTTACACTAGAGAAACAATGCGGTGCTTGCACATGTATGTTTGATTTATTTCACTTATGACATACCAATTCATTCTAATACACCCATCCCCTGATTGTTCCTCCAGCCTATGCCCAACTTTTACTTAACCTCCTCCTCAACATTAAAGATTACCCATTCTACATGGAGTAGAGTGGCTGAGTGGACTTAGTGAGTAAATGAGCGTCCCATTTGACCCAACACTTCCTTTGTTTGACACCTCCCACACGGACCTTTGGGCATTTAAGTTTGCAGCCCCTTCCTTAAGCTTTTCACAGGTAACTAGATGACACTTCTGTTCTTTTACACCAACAGTTCAACTGGGGCCTTCTTGGTCCCCACATTATATATTCTGTGCATGTACAGACCACATGGCTCCAGCTCTAATTTATCATCATCCCTGACTTTCTGTGTATCATAGGTCAAGTCTTCTCGAAGCTGGCTAAAACAGACTCTATGTGCAAGTTCCTTGGAAAGCATTCTCAGGAGCTATGGTGAAGAGAAGAGAGTTGGGAATAGACAGATGTTTCCCAGAAGTCTCACATGATCCTGTGTGGAACTCTGGAACTAGGATTGCCTTTCAGAGTCAAGCTGAGGCAAGGTGGTGTAGCATTATACCCTTGATTGGTCAGTTGATACTGGGATTGGCCCCAGAAGAGAGGGCATCATTTTAGGCAAGAGAGCTCTCCTGAGCCATAGGAAGCTCCTGCAGAAGGACACAACTGAGAGCTGTCTCTTGCTGATTTTCTCAGCATCTTTTTCAGCAAAGTTCCTGTCTTCTCTTTGTCACCTAATAGGCGTGCCTTCCTTGCACACTGCCCACACTGTGCACGTATGTGATGGATTACATCAATGTGTTAATCTGATTAACTCGGATCAAAATTTTCCATACTGGGGATTGAACAGAGGGCCTTTAAAACTTTTTAAATTTTGGGATAAGGTCTTACTAAGTCATTAAGTTGCCTAGGCTGGGTGTCAATTTATCATCCTCCTGCCTCAGCCTCCCAGAGTGCTGAGTAGTATAAGATGGCATCATCATGCTTGGCTCAGAAAGGCTTGATTTTGTTTGTTTGTCTCAGAAGGGCAAATTTGTTTCTGTTCCAGTCAGATATAGATCCATCATCTGCTCCAGGTTGGCAGGTTTGCAGAGCTCACATTGTCCTAGTACCTGCACATTGTCCTAGTACCTCCCACCAAAAGAACACTTTCCCAGAAGATTCCTCAGTGCCCCAGCCACTTCCTTGTTTCTCAGACTGTAAATGAGAGGGTTAAGCATGGGGGTGATCATGGTGTAGAAGGCAGAGACCACCTTGTCTTGCTTGGATGAGTGGTAGGCCTGGGGCCGCATGTAAGTGACCATGGCAGCCCCATAGAAGAGTGAGACCACAGTCATGTGTGAGGAGCAGGTGGCGAAGGCCTTTTGCCGCCCTTCTGCGGAGCTCATGCGGACGACAGTCACAAGGATCCTCAAGTAAGAGGCAGAGATGACAGAGAAAGGTAGCAGCAGCATGAGCACACAGCACACATAGATCATGGACTCGTATAGGGAGGTGTCTGCGCAGGCCAGTTTAAGTACTGCTGGGACCTCGCAGAAGAAATGGTCAATCTCCTGTGAGCCGCAATAGGGGAAGCGTAGTGTGAAGACTGCCTGGATTAGCCCGTCCATCAGTCCGAACAGCCAGGACCCTGCCACCATGAACCAGCAGGCACGAGGATTCATGACTGCCAAGTACCTCAGGGGGTTGCTGATGGCCACGTAGCGGTCATAGGCCATGAAGGCCAGCAGGAAGCACTCGTCCCCCAGCAGGGTGAGGAAAGAGAGAATCTGCAGTCCACAGCCTGTGAAGGAAATGGAGCCACTGCCCAGGAGGAAGTCGGCTGCCATCCGCGGCACGATGGTGGAGATAAGCATGAGGTCCATGAGAGAAAGCCAGCTGAGGAAGAAGTACATCGGGTTGTGCAGGCGGGAGTCCATGCTGATGAGGAGGATCATGAGTCCATTTCCACAGAGGGCCACCAGAAACATGGCCATGATGATGGAAAAGAGAAAGATGTGCAGCTGTGAGTGGCTGAAGAGGCCCAAGAGGATAAAGTGTGAGATGAGGGTCTGGTTCCCTGCCCAGGCCATTACTCCTGTGTGGGGTGCACTGGGAGGGAGGCTGAGAGCTGGTAGCAGGAGGTTCACAGTTAGCATCTTAACTTTGAGGACATTACGACTTTGCCCGATGTGTTATCCTCTTTGACTTGGTTTAGAATAAACGATGTGGACTCTTTAGAGGGGAAAAACTGAATGCAGTTGATGGTAGTTGTGAAACTTTAGGATTTTTTCTTTTGGTTCAGTAGTGAGGACTGAACCTCAGTGAGGGCTGAGCTATATCCTCAGCCTTTCTTTAAATTTTATTTTGAGATAGGTCTTGTCAAATTGCCCAGGCTGGCCTTGGATTTGCAATCTTCCTGCCACAGCTTCCTGATTAGCTGAGATTATAGGTGTGTGCCAGCATGCACAACTAGCTTCCAAGATTTCCTATACATAGCAGAGAAGTGGATTTTAAGGTATTTATGCTAATGTGGCAAATGCTTTGGCCTCTGATAAAAATTGGTTTATTCTCTAGCCCTCATTGTTGCTTCTTGCCTCGAGCAGCCTCACTCGAGGACTTGCTTTTTTGGGGAAAAGTAATTAAACAGCAAAATTTATCAGCTGTGTAAACTGGCCACTTTTCATAAGCTTTCTGGACCTATTTCCTTGTCCTAAGTTGAAATAACAATACTGCTGTATATTATAGGATGATAGGAAAGATCACAGGTGAGAGCAAAAGCAAGTTGTAGCAATGTAGAATTAAATACTGCTGTCATTACTGGAACATTTCTTTATGTGCAGCACACTGGTGAGCACACTGCTACACACTCACAGTTAATTCTTATAACTGCCCTGAAAGTGATGATCATTACCTCATTACACAAATGAGAATACTGAAGCAGAGAGTTTTTTTTTTCAGATATGAAAGATTGAAGTATTTTTAAGATGCTTAGAAAGTGAAAACCTAGAGACAACCCAGATACCCATCATAAAGAAATAACTAGGTTAATTTGGTTAATCACAAAGTAAAAGAGTATTTTATCAATGGGATATGGATGACATTTTAATTAATAAAAAAAGTTTACTTAGTATTCTTAAGTATTTTTCAGGGGTTAGAAGAAAATATGACAAGATATTATCAGACCAACTCTTTGCCTTTGAGATATCTTCTAAAAAGAGTTCAAGACATCATACTACACTGATACATTCATGCCCATGTTACATATTTACATAGATAAATCTTGGAAGAGGCATATTTGTTTGTTAAGATGAATGGGTAAAGAAAATATATTCATACATAAAACAGTACTACTTTGCCATAAAGAAAAATTATGCACCTTGAGACAATATTGAGTGGAATAAACCAGACACACAAGCTTAAGTATTGCATGGTCATATGTTACATAAGAAATCTGAAATGTAAACAAAGAGCAAAATAAAAGATAGATAATAAGAATAGGGAGATACATCATTTGCAAATGGGAAGGGGACCAAAAAGATGGTACCAAGAGGGCCTGAGAGGAGGGGAAGGGCATAAAAAAAAAAGAATTAAAACATTTTATGTACAAGAACCAACTCTCTATGAGGAATGTGATTATTATGTACTCAAATATATACTATTAAAATGTAAAACTTGAAAACAAGAAAGTGATTGTTTCTTAATAAAAAACTGGATTTATAAGTCATATATAACACGATTTTGAAGTTTGAAATAAAGGTTTAAAAAAATTTTAAAAAGAATACTCTATTGACAATTGTAACAAATTATACAGTCTGTAGCACAGAACTTTAATGCTAAAAATTACAAAATATTACTGAAAATCAACTTAAAAGGCCTGAATAAAGCTATGCAAGCTCCTCGATAAAGGCTCAACACTGCAAGGATTAAATTTCTCCCCAAAATTAATCTATTAAGTCCATATAATCACAATTAAAATCCCGATAAAATATTTATACTTTAACAATGGAAATACAGAAGTTAAAATTCCCTCAGAAGTCCATCAAAATCAGAAAGATTGAGAGCAGATGTATGTTCCCACTGGACAAAGTGGGTGTAGTGAAAGGTGAGCACACAAAAGTGTCCCAAGGTACAATAGCAGCAGCTACTGAGCAGGAGTAAGAGAGAAAATGGAAAAATAAGACTCCCATAGGCATAAACCCCAAGGTGCACTCTCCAAAGAGAAGAGCAAAACTGAAGTTTCTAGTGTACAACAATAGAAGCAGATGCACATACAAGGAATCTTTCAGGACCTGGCTTATTCCAAAGACAAAAAAGAAATTAAGCAAAAAAATCACATAGGCCAACCATACATGCAGGAAGAATTCTGCTTTTGTGGAGGGAAAAGGAGAAAATATTAGCTTTAAGGATAGCCCTATGGTTTTTCCTCTCAGTAGCCTGAATATTACTAACAGTTACCCTAATGACAGGTTCTCAAGAACTCCAGTTCTGGGTTAAAATGAATGATTAGATTGTGCCTTTCCCGTGGCAAAATCCCACTAGAAGGAGAGTAACTAGATATAATCAGAACAAGTGAGAAAACAATAGCAACATAAAAAACACTTTTTGGACACTGGAGGCACTTGGGTGGGTAGTTATTGACCTGAAAACCTAAGAAAGTTGAGTTCTAAACTGGCAGCAGTAACCTGAATAAAAGACCAGTAACCACAAAATCAGCCCTAGTAGAAGTTGAGGTGAGGGAACATCAAAAAAGGGATTGCTTGAAAGTGTACTAAGGTAACACAAGGATGGTCCTTGTCCTCCTTCACTCTTGTGGAAAGCACGAGACTGATTCTCAGAGCAGGTGAAACCAAGAGTTCTGTATCAGGGAGTCCCAGGGAAAGGAGGGAGCTATGAACGTGAGAAAAGTAAAGAAAACAGGGTGCCTGACATCTCCCACCCAGATTTATTTCCCACTGGCAGGAAATTAGAAATCTCCTGCATCCAGCCAGGATTTTGGCCCAGAAAACATCTAAAGATAGTAATGTTGGAAGTTAAAAAGAAATCTATATCACTCAAAGTAAATCACAACTAGCACGAATTACCTACATCCTTAAGGCAACTGGGTACCCAATACAAATATGAGTAGAAAACCAAGGATCCATAGACATCATAACATTTCCTCAAGAGAAGAAAAACCACCAAAGCAATGTGGATAAAAAAGAAGACTCTAGGAAAACAAAAAGCTCTAAAGAGAATTCTTAGTAACATGGATGATATAAAGGAAATATTATAAACAAACAAGAATAGAATGCTGTAGAAAAAAAGCAGCAGTCAGAGCAAAAACAGATCTTTTAAAAATAAAAATCTTTCTAAGTAGTTCTACTTCAAAGAATTCATCTTACATATTTTTGTTTATTTGTTGCTGTTTTTGTTATTTGAGACAGGGTCTCATCATGTAGTTCAGGATGGCCTTGAACTCACCACGATCCTCCTGCCTCAGCCACCCAAGTGCTTGGATTATCCGTGTGCTCCACCACACCTGGCCTGTTTTTTGTTTGTTCATTTGTTTGTTATTTGTTTTTTGAGACAGGGTCTCCCTATGTAGTCCAGGTTGGCCTGAAGCTCACAGTGATCTTCCTGCCTCAGCCTCTTGGGTCCTAGGGTTATAGGCATACACAAATATACCCAGCATTTTAAGATGTATTTACACATATGCAAACATGGTTTACAGACAAGAAGAACATTTCTTTATGGTAGAAAAAAAGTTGCTTGCAATGGAAATATTTATCAATAAAAGATAAGTTGAATAAACAGTGGAAGAACACAAACAAGAAAAGTAATGGTGTTGCTTCTGGAGTAATAATATAGAGTTTTCTCTGAGTTATATTATTTTAAAAAGTACAACAATGTCAGCTGTGTGTGCTGACACCAGATTATTATATAATATAATCAAATCATTATAGTGGTCTGGACATGTGGCTTAGAGGCAGAATGCTTGCCTTGCAAGTATAAAGCTCTGGGTTCAATCCCCAGTACAGAAAAAAAAAGAATATTACTGTTCTGAATTACGTATTTCACAATATACCATGTAACATTACACAATATTATACTTTGCTTTTATTTGTAAAAAGGAAATATATCCATAAATAAATTTTATGAAATAAAATACAAGAAACTAAAAAAACTGCCTCAAAGGAAAGTATCAGAAAAGTCAGATAGCTGAGAATGGAAGAGAAATGAGTGTTTAGATGCACAATACTTCACATTTAGAATTTTAATCTTTGTTAGACAAGAACTTAGTTTCAATAAATATGTGAATATGAAGTTGAAGCGTTACCTAATAAGATTTGTCATGGAAATTGATAAGGCAAGAATCGACATATATGCACAACACATTCTATATACTTAAATAATATCTATTAAATAATCAAAATAATTTTAGAAAAACAAAATCTAGGACCTGGGCTTAGTAGTTCATACCTGTGACCCAAGCACATGGGAGGGTGAGGCAGGAGAATCACAAATTTGAGCCTAGCCTTGGCACATTAGCAACTTAGACCTTGTCTCAAAATAAAAAATAACAACAAAAAAAAAGAGGTGGGGATGTAGCTCAGAGCTAAAGCCCAGGGTTCAATCCCCAATACTGAAAAAAATTAAGTCAAGGGACTTGTCTTACCCATTATCAAAATACAATATAAAGCTATGTTAATCTAAATTTGTTTATTTATTTTTAGGTGCTAGAGATAAAACCCAGGCCTTTCCCAGGATAGATGAGAGTTTTACTACTGAGCTATACTCCCAGCTCTGTCTCCCAGTATTTTTACATACATAAAATAAATCATAATTAGAAAATGTTTTGGAAAGAATAAAGGCCATAAACTCATCTTTATGAATAACTAACACCGATTACTGTGTCACCTCTTGAAATTTTTTTCTCCAGAAGACAGAAAAATTAAGAAGACAGAAATTTTTTTCTCCAGAAGACAGAAAAATTAAGAAACAAAGACACAATACAGAGTGCAGGGACAAAGACATCATGAGAAAGGAGAACAAAGATACCAATATCAAAGGGTCAGAGGAGGGAAGGGAAGGGCACCTGGGCAGCCAGGCG